TGAGGGACACACAATCATGTTTAATAATCATGTTTTATATTGGACGGGAAAAAGAGTTAGTGTATTATAAAAAGGGAAACAAGTGTTAGTGCAATGGGTGAACGCAATATCACGATGGTCAGGGCATGTACAATACTGGGGTTTGTGCAATATAATTGATGTGTTTCCGTTATTGTTATCTATACTGTCCTCTGTGTCCACTCTCCTTGTCATTGTTTGTTCTAGTATAATGTGATCACTGGTTTTGTCCTTGTCACATGACCTGTAAATAGTGTCTCTGTATGTTTTTACTAACTTGTGTTTAACACCAACCTGCCAGAGGGTCTGCAGATGGAAATTAGCCCAAGGCTAATATGTGGCATATTTACATTTGTTAAAATGTTCATTAATATGTATTGCCCCTCTTTCTAAAAAATAAATAAATAAAATAAAAGAATTCTAAAATATTATCTGACTGAAAGATCATTAGCCCATTTTATGAATTTTGTGGCAGCCACTTGTCTGAATAAAGTTGAGCAGATCATTGCTTTTAACATGTCTTTTCTGGTTCGTACCTGTGCATACTGTGGAACCTGTAGGCATTTATGAGGCTTAGACTATAATCCACTTATTCAACAGTAGAATGTTTCTCTGGAAACCAAAGCTTTATGCCTATTGAGTGCAATGATTAAAAATGTTAAACCCCAGCGAACGAACATCTCGGACACGTCGGAAAAGACAATAAAAAAAGTCAACATGTCGAGTGAGTCGTCTCTTTGTACAGATTATCCCTGGATTTTGAAGCTAAGTACAGAGCTGTGTGCTGTTCTGTAAGCCCTGTCACCCTGGGGAGCTCATTACTGGCACTCCAGGCAGGGATTTGAAGCCTGTCAGCCCATACCCTACTGTAATTAATTCTACTCCTTTTGGCTCTTTTTTCTCCTCCATTAATTTGTGTATTTAATTAATGTCTGCTTGCTTTTACGGCACAGAGAGTGAGAGACAGAGAAAGGGGTAGAGAAAGGAATGGAAAGAGAAAATGAGATACAAAGTTACAGACCTTTTTTTTTATATGGAAATCCTCTCAATTATCTGAGTAAAGAAGCAGAGACAGTCATTTTTGCTCAGTCAAGATCTGGTGGCTCTTTGCTTATATGCTCTATAATTAGCTGTCTTAACTCAACATAACACTACTATACTACTTTAAATGACAAGTGATTAGTAACATATGACCTGTGAATTTTGGAGACACAGAAGCTGGTTGTCTAGAAAAGTATTTGTTAGTGCCCAAGGCACATGATGTGCTTTGAAACTAAAACTAAAAGGCACTGCTTTATTTCTGTCTAATATTCTGCATAACATTATATTTTTGACAGCACATTTATGGCATCTGGGTCTAGCAAGGCAGCTGCAATTTCTTTGTCACCAATTCACAGAATTGATCAAACACCTTGGCACAATCACTCTTGCTGTTTCTGGGTTAAAGTCCATAAAGTTTCTCTCAAAGGAGATGCCAGTTTCCAAGAGACTCTTTAAGCCCAATCACACAGGCCTAGAGACTGGTTGGCAACTGCCTCGCTACCACCAGTTGCAAGGCAAAATTAAGTATTGCCTGAACAGATGTAGTGGTTGCTGATGGTTGTTATGAAATTAATTGCTAATTGAGTCAGTGACACTCCCCATATTCACCACGAGTTGCTAGGGGGGAAAAACTGCATTCCTCCAACTGGTTTGCAAGTGGTTTTGGAGGTTGTGTGCTGTCGCTGAATGAGATTGGTAACACAAAGATCTAGGCCTGACTGACTGAGAACTTAGCTTTGCCATGCACCATTTTAGCATTAGCCATCTTCTCCCAACTTTTTGCGCACATGCTGTCAGGCCTGTCAGTTTTCTTCAAGACAAGAATCTTTCCATTCTTGGAAGACTGAGCAGTTTATCAAAATGAGCTTAAGTTTCAGATGTCAAAGAGACGTAAAACAGCAAAAGGCAGAAAAATCAAAAAACTTTACCTCTACCACCAAAGTAACTTTCCAGGAAGTTATACTTATAAAGTCTGTGCCGTTTCAAAATTCCAGTACATTTATGTTGAGGAATTTTTGAGTTCTATATGCCTCTCCTTTAAAGTCTCTAGTTAAAATCCTCAGTCCAGATAGTCTTTTATTTGGAGGGGACTACACTTGATTACCAAGACGGGCATGTCACTGCAGACTATGGTCTTTTCACAGATGGCTGCTAAAACTCACTCATCAACTGATGACAAAATTAATTTCATACTGACCCAAGTGGACCCCAGTAAATTTGCAGTTGTGGAAACTATAAAAGCCTTCCTGGTCATCTACACTGGTGATTTGCTCTATGCACGTGATCAAGAACCTCCAGCCCCCATCTTTAAGAAAATGGACAGTATAATGAGAGCAGTTCAACAATGAGAACAGGGACTGGTACATATCATCGACCCTTTTTCATGCTACCTGAGCCTCCCTTCTAGTTTCTCTTGGTCTTGCAATGTATAGCCAGAAACTACCCAGAATCTCTCCTGCATCCCCACCACCTTCAACTGCACACTTTCTCAGCCATTGTTTTTTTTTCCACAAACAGAGCACTGATAACACCTGAAACATGACGGCCTGTCTCCCATGCTTCAGATAAGGAGTTTCCTGACTGTGGTGCCCTGTTTGTTGGTGATGGTGGTGGGGGTGAGGGGGTTGTTTGCGCAGCCAGCAGCAAGTCAATTCTCACGAATGTCGTGTACAAATATTTACATTTTATTTAGAGTCTCTTCCGTAAAAGTATGCAGTCACAAAAAAGGTTTTCAACTCAACACTGGCTGTGTCACTAGCACATTATACAGTATGCAGCACTGGGACGAAAGCTAGAGAAGCTTTGATAGACAGTGTCATTACAACAGTGGTCTCAACATTGTACATGGTTATTTGTGTAGAGCTCTACTTATTTTTGGCAAGCTTTATAAAAAACACAGAAAGAAAAAAAAACAGATTTTGCATAACAAAGATGAGAGAGTTCAGAACTAAGAGGTGCGAGTTTGGTTACTATATGGAGGTACAGGCTCAAGGTAATCGTTAATCAAGACATAAATCCTTGATGGACCAATCCTAACACTCAGTCAGTGTTCTTGATTGTTTAGTTTACTGTGACCCATATTTCAGCCAGTCAGTTTAAGGTCCGCATTACGCAGGACACAGTGAATCATGCCCCATCTCCACTGTCCCCCTTCCATCTCTCTACTTTGTGCTTTTAGGGCTAAACGTGCTTCACTTTTCTCCCCATAATTTCGCCAGTGCTCTTCTCCTCAACTTTACTTTATCCTGAAATAAAATTAGCATCTAAACCCCACTTGCAGAACCACACACTTCATCATGATACTACCGTTTAGTAGAACAAAAGCACTCTCCCAAAGCACAATGCAATGCAGCTCATTAAATTTATTCTGTTTTGAGTCATTCTGGAGCAAAGTTACAAAGTTTGCTCTCATAAACCTAGCAGTTATTTAAGGTGAACCAATTATACTATTCCCTTTTTTTTCTTTGAAAGTGGTCGTTACTAACAATGAACACGGCCAAGGTTTCAGATAATGAGGTCAGCATATGTAGAAGGAATCCCTGTGTGTCAAAAGCTCAGGCGTCATGCTACTCTAAATACTCTTTCAGACATTTTATTTTTACTTTTGGTGCTTTTTTAATGTCATATGCTCACATCTCAGGCTATGAGGATAGAAGCTCCACCTATCTGCTGTTCATGCTTTCTTTACGAGGGGCAGCCAATCAGAGGAAAGTTGGCTTAAAGAGGTGAACAGAGAGCAAAAGTAGCTTGTTTCAGACAGAGGAGGAACTGAGGGGCTGCAGAAAGGCCATGTATGAACTCACGAAATGCTACTTGAAATTAAATGAGGTCCACTCTGAAACAGAGATTTTCAGATGCAAGTCACATGCATCCTGTCAAAGTTCCTTTAAAAGAGAGTCTCATAACTTAACAATTCATTTGAAATGCCTCCAGGCACTTATTTGGGTGAGATAGAGGCAAAAGACCTGCTGTGGTGATCCATTAGATTTGAGTGGATTATCTAAATTAACTTAGATTTCAATGATCTGCAGGGAATAAACACTACACTACCCACTTGATTTAAAAAATGATTCTGTCTGATTCTGTCCGAAAATAATGTTTTAAACAGCCCGCCACAGTTTGACTTCTACTACCATCTTGTCTGCTGCACAATTTTTGCACAGATTTTAATTCAGGACTCTTTGAGAGACCTTTCTCTCCCACAGGCGGGCACGATGCATTCACACTCCTCACACAAACTGGACTGTGGCGGGTTAAGCATGCTCAAATTGCCTAACGGGAGTGCATTCTAAGTCAAACATGGACTGTGGATGTCCATGTCTGACATTCTCAGTTTTGGAAAGGTTGGGACAAGTTGAGTGAACTAGAACAAAGTGAGTATGGCTCAGGTCGAGGATGATTTATCAATTGATGTTTAGAAGGTCAAGTTTGTTACAATAAATTTAATCAGAAAACAATATAACATTTTTTAGGAGGCCAAAACTCAAAAGATGATTTAAAACTGACACAAGGGTTTTAAATTTTGCTGAAACTAAATTATCAGTTTAAATCTAATAAATCCATTGATTCATGTTCTACAAAAACACTGCGCGTTTCAGTGTAAAACTGAGTGTACAATCTTCAGTCTCAGATCTTCGAAAATAGAGGACACCAAAATATTTGGATCACTGAAATTTGAAGGACTGCAGTGAGGGAGAAGCTGAAGACAGACCAAAGGTGATGCTTCTTCTTCTTAATGTATAAATAAATAGAACAGATCTGACACTTGAGGATACGAGGATACAATATCTAAAAATGTCTTTTCTTAATAAAAATGTCTGTCTTGGCATTCAATCCACAGATCTTAACCAAATGGTTGCTTAAAAAACTGCTGTGCCATAATAAGAGTACAAAAATACATAACTGTGCAAGACTGAAGCTATTAAAAGAGTCTCTGTGAATACTGCAAGCTCTATAGAGCACTGTATTGTTTGCTGGGGACGTGGGGCCTGTCTGGTGATGTTGCCCTGGGCACGAAGAGCTGAAGGCAACGCTGCAGGAACGACAGCAGTAGTGGCATTCAGAGTGAGCAAACAGCTGATATGCAGCATTTCAAACGTTGCAATTTCAAAAAAAAAAAAAATTGCTCCTGAAGAGCAAGGTGTGCTGGTGTGGGGCAATGCTTGGGTTCAGATGGCGTAGTCATCCTGAGCAGAGGGGCTGAAGGCGGAGCTCCGCAGGACATCCAAGCAGTTGACCAGGATGAGCGTGCCGGTCAGGTGCTTCCAGCGTTTGGTGATGGGGTTCTTCATCTTGTCCAGGCCCATGTGAAGCTCTTGGATCACATCCCTGTAGCTATCGCCAATCTGAGCTGCCCACGTGACCAGGAAGTCGTATGCCGGCTTCCACATGGCCTGCAGACAAGAAGAGAAAGAAACGTGTCATGATCTCCTGGGACACTGACATGTCGGAAAACTGTCACAGGCTGACAGAATGATACAGATGCACTCGGTCCACTTGTGATTTTGACAGAAGGGAAAAGTGAAACATTTGTATTTCTCAAGATGTGTCACTGTTCCTTTAAAACACAATAATCAGGTCAGGAATCACCTACACTTTCAGCTGCTTAGTAGGGGTGCAACGATACACAAAATTCACGTTTCGGTTCGGTTCGATACTTTGGTGTCACGGTTCGATATTTTTTCGATACAAAAAATGTTCATGCATTTTTAATTTGTCATTTATTAAAATTATAAATATATATTTTAACCCAAAAGTACAGTTT